CGGGGATAATGGAAGTAGATGACCGTCTTCCTTGACACTGTCTGGCCAGTGAATGTGGGAGAGGAGGAGGGATGGATCTCTCCACCCCACTGCCTCCTCATTAGAATGACAAAGGAGTGATGAGTCAGTCTAATGCAGAAAAGTAGCAAGGAGGAGTAAATGAGAAAACAGAAAACGACGCACAAAATGTAGAACAGAGCCATAATAAGAGAACAGAGCCAATTTTCCATAAAATGACAATATCTCTGTGTAAAAGAACCTGCAGATCAGGTTCTGCTTTTTTCTGTCTTATCGCTTAAACCAGGATTAGACAGGGAGTCACTCCTCATGGCCTCACATGTCAAAACACTCAACTTTACAACAGAAATAACTAGACAATTACATAAAATTAACAATAAGTTAAAGGGACTAAAACAGTGGGAAGCATTGTAGGACATGTCCATAATACCTCTCCTAGTAGGCCTCCAGGACACATCATTATCAGGTGCCTGAACCACCTCAGTTGGCTCCTTTTGCTGTAGTCCCTCTCGAATGATCGAGCTTTCCCCCCCCCGTCTCTAAGTGAGAGCCCAGCCACTCTTCAAAGAAACTTCTTTCTGCAGCCTCAATCTTTCAGTCACTACCCAAAGCTCATGACCATAAGTGATGGTTAATTTATGTGTTAGTTTGATTAGCAGCAACAGTAACCATTAACAAAGTATGACTGCCATCGATGACCAAAAAGCTATCACTTGGTCAGATGTTGGAGCATCTGCAAAAAGTTAGCTAAAAATGTTTTTCTGTCATGACAAGCAAGAATTAAAGTTAGACAAAATATTATAAAGGACCTCGGTACATGAGCTTGTTGTGTTCTCATTAAAGCCTGCAACACGAGCACTGCAAATGCAATAGTGAATAGAGGATTTTTCTGTAGTGCATAGCTGTGTTTCATAGGGGCTAGAATGGCCTTGGTACATTGTTCCAACTCTGATTACAGTTTGTTTTGTAGAGTTTTTTCCTTCCTTTCTTTGACACGTGGAGGCATTGACGTCAACAGCCAAGAGCCTTCGTGCTACCACGGTAACAAGTGCTGCGCTACCGCATCAAGCTCAAATTAGAAGCTAAGGAGTGATTAGGAGTTTCAGTAACTTGCACCTCCACATGAGGCCCTGTCATTCACACTGCTCTGAAAATACACCGTGAGCCCTTCACCCCAGCTGGTTTCCTAGGATTGTAAGGGAAACGGCTTGTAATCACTTTGGTATTGATTAAGCTTCTTACATGTACACTGACAAGAAGCTATTAAAAAGGCAAGAAACCACGTAACTGTCACTGTTTAACATTAAAACGTTTTCCACGTCCGTGCAGAATTTTTGGGTAAAAGGATGTTTCACCCTTTTTTTTGTTCGGCTCCTTTTTGCCTGTTAAACAGCCGATGTTTGAAGCACCGCTGGACCATGTTCAAACTCCAGAGTTAAGCTTAATCAAATTATTGAGAGCCACGTCGCCTCTGCTGTCAGAAAATCATTAATAAGTGGTCTCCTTTAACACACTGGGCCTCTTCTGAACCATTCTTGTGATTTGAAACCTTGAGAATTTCTCCTTTGAAACTGTTGAAAGCAAATACGTGCTCAGGATAGGAGATGGCAGAACAGGGTGGGAGGTGGGACCAACATTTGATTTGGAGAGTACTTTGAAGTCATAACGGAGAGTCATTGCTGCTATAAAAGCTATGAGAGTGTGTGTGTGCGGACATCTGTGCACCGACTGAACAGTTTCTTTCTCCCCTTCCTCTCCTTTTATATCAAAGTGTAAAAGAAGTTGAGCCGTTCAGTCTTAAATTGAAATCGAGTGTGTGCTTTAATCTCGCGGGCCACAGCAGGCTGTTGCATTAAGGTTACATGAGGATCAGAGCTGCCAAACGAGCACCATTCGTCTTGTAATAAAAGATAAAGCCGCTGTAATTACAGCACAAAGAGGTTCCATCTATCACTAATGTTCTGTCTGGGTGTTTTTTTTTTCTTTTAAACTTTTAGATAATGTAATAGAAGGTGATCAAGTATCAGAAAGTAGAGTCAAAGCTGGAATATTTCATCATGCTTAATTAGCTAAAAAAGTAATAAAATTTGTCTGAAACTGGTAAAAAAGTAAACAAAAAAAACTGCCCATCACAGTTTCCCACATCTAAAGGCGACATGTTTCAAATTACTAACTGATTCCACATGTAGGAAGCAAGTAAGGTTTATTTATATTGTGTTTTCCAGTATAAAATGACATACACCAGTTAAAAGAGTATAAATGGATCAAAGTAAATAAAAGAAAGCCTGCACAGGTGGGTTTTAAGCTTCTTTTGAAAAGTGCCAGCAGTCTCCACAAATCTCCAGTCCAACGGAAGCAAAGTCCACATCCTGGGAGCCGGAAATTCAAAAGCACGGTCTCCTTTTGTCTTTGATCTGGACCCAGGTGCCACCAACAAACATCAGTCAGCTGGCCTAGTAGTGGCGTATGGATGTAAATGTTAACAGCAATATAAAGAGGAATGTGACCAATGAAGAGCTCTGAAAGTGGTCACCAAAATCTTAAACTGAAAACAACTTTACAATCCCCAAAGATTTTCGCTGATTACTTCATTTGCTTCTGACTGAAAAACGCTCAGATGATTTAGTTGGTTTGCTGTTTTGTTCTTCTTTCCCTCTGCAACTTTAATTAATGAAAACACTGAAAATATGGTGCGATCGATCAATCGCTGCCATCTCCTAAGCTCACATCCTCTGAGCCTCTCATCTCACAATCGGCGTAGTTACTAGAAGATGGCCCACACTCGAGCTACATTCCCCACATAACTGGAGACAAATCCACTTTGTATTTAGGCTCAAAGTTCATATTGTATTTCATGAGAGTATATTTTAATTACAAGAATTTTATCCACGTTTCTCTCATCTGTGATAAAACCCAAGCTCTCAGTGGAAATAATAATCCATCGTTTTTGTTTTTGTTGTAGTTTTTTTATATGGTCTAAAATTCAACCCAGTTTATAAACAAAACGGTGCCAAAATACAGGGGAAAAAAAGATACAACTGAATACATAAAAGCAGAGAGCCCACTGATGAAAGCAACACAGTGTTGATCTGGCATTTTTAATACTTTTGTATGGTATTATATTCTGCCAGACCAAAGGCGATTGTTTTGCAGATTTATACATTCATAAACGAGTCAGTTAAACTTATGGGATATTGTTGTTAATCACTCAAGCTGCTTTGGTGTTAATGAAATGAACAACATGTGCAGCAACAATGAGACAACCCTCGAACCAGGAATGGTTTTAAAGGTGGCGGCCACTGATGTTTTTTTTCCTCCTCATCTTTTTTGACTAGTTTTGACTAATTCTATAGTTTTACATTTGGCTAGGGTTAGTGTCATTACTGGGAGCATCACGCAACACCTGGACCCTACAGAGGTTGTGCAACTCCTCCAGGATGGCACATCAATATGTGTCATTGCTAGACGGTTTGCTGTGTCTCCTAACAGTCTCAGGAGCACGGAGGAGATTCCAAGAGACAAACAGGTACCCTAGGAGAACTGGACAGGGCCGTAGAAAATCCTTAACGCATCAGCAGGACCAGTATCTGCCCTTTTGTGCAAGAGGAACAGGATGAGCACTGCCAGAGCTACAAAACGTGGAAAACATTACCCTGCCTGCAACATCGTTCATTAGGAATGTTTTGGTGGTGGATCAGTGATGGTCTGGAAAGACATATCCACAGAGGGATATCGAGACCTCTACAGGTTAGCCAGCGGCACCCTGACTGCCATTAGGTACTGGTGCACTGGTGCAGTGGGCCATGGGTTCCTCCTGGTTCATGTCAATGATCAGCCTCATGTGGTGAGGGTATGCAGGCAGTTCCTGGAGGATGAAGGTATTAATGCTACTGACTGGCCCACACATGCTTGCCTGACCTAAATCCAATAGAACACCTCTGGGATGTTATGTTTCGGACCACCTGCAAAATGGACTAACCTGCCACATCATTTTATCGCTTTTCATGCCTGTCTTTGAATCTGTAGGGTGATCATTTTCGTTTCCATCAAACAATGTGTCGCCCTTTCATTCACCTTACACTCGATATAAGTGTAGATATGCAGCATGATTTATTTTATTTTCAATATTGAGATCTGATGTGTTTTCAGAGTTCGTTTAAGTTTTTCAAGCAGTATATTTAATTTGAGTCCACTCTTTTCCAGGGTAATTAAAATGAACTTGTATGTGACATGAGGACAAAATATACCACAAAACAAAAAAGGATTCAGTCTCAGATGTAGTCGGGCTTCTTTTCATGTGTGCCTAGTGTTTTAGAGCCAGATGTCATGCTTGATACTTGCAGTGACTGCACATTCAGATGCTGATAGAAATCTGTCCACCCTGTCTCTTAAGCTGTTACCCTCGTGGTGTTTGACTGATTCTAGTTTTCTTGTTGAGCTCAGACTCAGTGGTTTCTGTGTTGGGGGAAGGAGATGCATCAACATTTTGTTTCGCTCTCTTTGGCTTGTCAAATCTCTCAGCCTCTTCCTCTGACTGTCATTACTTTTCTCGCTCCTGGAAAACTGCTTAGACATTTAAAAAAAAAAAAAGGAAAAAGGAAAAAAAGGCAGATGCGTTACTATGACAACAACCTTGAGTCACGTCATTAGCTTCAGAAAAGCTGCAACACGGACCCATTCAAAGCATGTAAATGAACTGTTTGTATTTTCTTGTTGCCATTAAAGAAATATTTGCGGCAAACAGCACGCACCGCTGATTTCTCAGATGAGAAAAGTGTGTTGGTAAGGTCAGCACAGTTTGGCCTTGGTCTTCACACAGACTGGGATGAGGTGCATTGTTTTGTTTGGGGAATTCAGATAAGAGGAGCAACCTGGGAAAAAATGTTTCTGTGAGCTGGATTAGGTTTGCCTCGCTCATTACAGAGAATCCCTTTCTCCCTGCTTGTCAACAGACTCTTGACCCCTCGCATCTTCTGTTGCAGGTCCATCTCTTGAAGGACCAGCTGAGTGCAGAGGCCACGGCTCGGCTGGAGGCCCAGGCTCGCGTCCACCAGCTGCTCCTCCAGAACAAAGACCTGCTGCAGCACATCTCTCTGCTGGTTAAACAGATCCAGGAACTGGAGACCAAAATGTCTGGACCAAATTCCAGTGAGTGGACCTATAGACATGCATACTGTATAATACACTTTAGATAAATAGAGATGTTCTGATGATATAAAAGTGCTCACACATCTACTGAATGACAGGTTGCACCGGGCAAGTGTGTAAATTGTGACCTGCATCAGCCTCTGCTGGCAGTCAGTAGGAAATGGGATGTAGTTTGTAGTTCTTGCTTGAGGAAAAGACACATCACCTAAAGCAAGATGTGTCAAGCATAAGGCCCGAGGGCAAAAATCAGCCTGGCAGAGACTTCAGTCTGTTTGACCGGACAGCTTTGGAAAATGTGATGCTCCCTCAACTTGTTCTGTAAATTTAGGCAATTATATCTCAGAGCTTAAGCCCAAACAGCCGTAGCAACAGATTTCTGTTTTACTAGAGCACCATTTCTTTGTCTGACCTACTCAACATTAACATGGGCTGTAAGTGTGTGAACATAATGTGCAGTGCCTTTGACATCTCTGATCTAGATGATAGGCTGCAAAAACACAGCACAAGGGAGCTTTTTGGTTTCAATTCGGTTTTGGCCCTTACACAAAATGTAACTTTAATTCTTTAACTATAACAAGGCAGACTCATCCTTCAGATGTGTCCATGAAAATAGTTCTTTGCATTATAGTATCTTATTAATGCATTAATTGCTGACGCTTCAGACTGCTGTGTTGTTCTTTGAGCTCAAGTCTTCGTTTTCATAAAGTTTCACTGATTATTTTTAACAGGCTTTGGATGTTTCTCACTGATAGAGAATAATCAGCATGCACACACTGCAAACATATACTACAAAATAAGCATATTTAAGTTTCAATATAATTCTAAAATATATAGAGACCTTAAAGTATTTAACAATAGTTATAAAACGCAATATACATATAGAATGTAATAGGAAAAAAATGGTAAATGACCAGTTTTTCATTAAAACTGTCAAAGACTTTTACTCCCAGGAAGTAAAAGGAAGTAAAAGGTTCCTGCTTTTAGTCTGTTTCCGCTTTCTTTTAAAGACTTGATCTTTTAAAGACATTAGCTGGAGGGGGTTTATATTTATCTGGCCATGCACAATTTTACTTGCACATTATTTCATGTATTTTGTGGGCTATAGATCTAAATTATTTATTATATAGTTTTATATTATTTTTATATAGTATATATTTTTTCCAGTAAGTAAAGGAAATATTACGTTTTCAGGTATTGGAAGTGGGAATTTTCTTATTCCCAGTTAGAATTTTGATCTGGAAGGTTCCTTCTGATTCTTTACTCAGAAAGTCGGAGCAGCCCCACCAATCCTGAGTTAACAGTCCAAGATGGTGGCGGTAAACGGCACTAAAACTGTAAACTGTGAGGCAGCAGTGCTAGCCACTGATCCACTGTGATTAAAAGACAAACATAAAATTAACACAGTAGTAATCTATATGATAAATAATAATTGTAATACCTCCATAGTTGATTCATTTTTACCCCTCAGCTGTAAAAGGCTCATAGGATATTGGCGCGTTAACTCAAGTTTGTGAATTCGATAACCCGAAAACGAGGCAACGTAGGAATTTCAAATTAACAGTATATGTTTATTTACTAAAGATCTTTTATTCTGTACTGCCACTGTTGTGTATGCACTCTTGTGACTCACAAAATAAGCCACATCCAGAGCACTGACCAGGCTCTGTCCATGAACGTGCTGCTGTGGTGTTCTTAAGCACAAAAAACATGCATTATGTTGTATTGTTAGTGATGCATAAATCGCTCTACCTTTCCAAAAGCTGAAGCAAATCCTGTTTTTCCTCACATTTCCAGCTATCCTACCAGAACGCACAAACTTACTCCTGATTTCCAGCATCCAAGAGATAACTGGAACGTGGCATTAGTCGCTGTTAAAAACTAAAAGCAAATCAATTTTACACCCAGTGCAAGCAGAGGTGGACCAGTTTAGTGTCAATGACATAGTCTAATACAAACAAACATGTTTCTGAATGTCTTGTCTTTTCTTCTCATATTTCACTGGAGAAAACTGGAGGAAAGTGTCAAAGGTCCTTTGATCATGCTGACTAGGTGATTGGTCAAAACAAGTCATGTCCTCTGATGTGTCTCCTTTATATCTACATTTCGATACAAGGTTTACAGTTGTAAATTGTTCTGTTTCAAGATAACATTATATCCCAGGCAGAAAACTGGGTGCCAAATAATTCCTTTCATTTAGACATTCATCTGTCCCTTGCCTCTAACAACGTTCCTGCTGTGGGAAAAAATTGTACAACCAAGGCAAAGAGAAACTCTACCAAGCAAATGATATGGGAAAAAGCTCAGCTGAATGAGCTGTGAGTGAGATATCTCACAGAACAGAGCTGTTCGGTCACACCAAAGGTGCCGTGACAAACAAGCAAATGTACAATGACAGTGACAAGAAAAAGTGAAAAATAGGCATGAAGGAGGCAGAAAAAAGGCATTAGTAATTCTACATCACACTCTAGGTCAACACACATCACTGTCAGACATGCAGAGCAGACGTCCAGCAACACACGGCGCACAAAAGCATTAAAACGCAGACGTGTCCAGTATAAGATGTCCTTTCCATGTCTCCCCCCTCACTACCACACAATTTTAGTCATCAATTTCATCTGCTGTTGAGACTGTGTGTGTGTGTGTGTGTTCCTGTCTAGCTATCTTTGTGAGGACCGAAATCTGCATTCTACTATACTTGTAAGAACCAACAGTAACTTGTGAGGACACACACACTGGTCCTCACAAGTTTGAAGGCTTTTTTGAGGCTCAAAATGTGGTTTTAGTGTCAGGGTTACAATTAGGTGGTGGTTACAATTATGGTTAGGTTTAGTTACCCTAGGGTTAGGGTTAGGCATTCGTTTTTAATGGTTAGGGTTAATGGGAAACCATTATGTCAATGAAGGTCCTCACTAAGTTAGCTTCTCCAGCAAATATGTGATGCCATCAGGTGAATATAGGTCAAAATCTCTAAGGAATAATCCCAACGCCTGGCTGAATCCATGAAAAAAGTGATCCTCTTCAGAGCCTTCTGGCTGGGCAAAGGAGCAGCAGTGGCAGACAGTTCCTCTCAATGTGCTGAGCAGTTCAAGAGGTCCTTTATCCCACTGTAATAAGACTTTTTAAACACCCTCCGTGTGTGTCTGTGTGTGTGACAAAAAATACATCCCCTAAAAAACAAACCAAAAAAACCAAACAAACATACAGTATATGTAGCATAATCTAAAGCAGATTATACTGCAGAAGCAGTCTGAGAAGTTTTTGTAGATGTTTGATTGATGGAGTTGTTTAAACTCGAACACTGCAACTGCTGTGAACCCAAACAAGCTACTGCTACTGTCCTCTGCCAAGGAGTGAGTGAGTCATCCTTCATGTTTGTTCTGGGTTGGTATTGAAGACGTCTTTCTTTAATGCATCTCTTTCTCACTGTTCCAGCTCCAGGTCTGTGCTGTGTGCCCGTGAAGAACCCTGCTAAACCTGTTTCACTGAGCAGTCTTGATGATGATGAAATGCTTTGAAACATGTTGTTTTTTCTCCTCTGCTTATGCTGTACGAGCATGCACTGATTTATTGGTCACAGAGTGATTTATTTTGCTGGGAGTTGTAATCTTATATTCACCACAATTCACAGATATGTACGTCACATACATTTTATCTTCTGCCTGCAAAGGTGATGGCAGATTCATTTCAATCAAGGCTCATTTTTAAAAGTGGTTGAAAACATTTTATGTATCTCTGTTCTTCACTTTCCACCTTTTGCTTCACCTGAAATCTCCTTGCTTTATCTCCTCCATCCAGTGGGTTCCCAGGACAGTTTGTTGGAGATCACCTTCCGGTCTACAGTACCTCCGGTGATATGTGACCCCACGACACCTAAGCCTGAGGTGTCAGCCCTCAACCTGCACACATTTGGCAACAGCGACGGGACCAGCAATGCCTTCTCATCATCCAACGGGACCCTGGGAAGCCCACTAGGTAGGGACCAATGTCTACTCAAACTGGAGTGTTTCCGTTTCCTCCCGGGACCCCCGGGGCCTCCACCTCCTCGACTCCCCTCGCCTCCTCATCCGCTCAAGATTAACAGGCCAGAGATCAAAAGTCCAGAAGCGTCAGAGGGTCCAGTAAAGTCTTTGTCCTGCGACGTCAAATCTCTGGGCTGCCTGGAATTTGCAAGGTTTCGCGAGTCGGGTATTGCCTCGGAGTACGAGTCAAACACGGACGACAGTGATGACAGGGAGGATGAGGATGAGGATGAGGATGAAGGGGAGGATGAGGACGAGGAAGACATGGAGATTTTTGGATGGGGAACAGATCAGGAGACAGTGAGGCTACTTAATGTTCTCAACAGACAGGGAACTCCTGACTGCCTGGGAGATGAAATAGCAGTGTAACACTTTAACCTGCCCCACCCCCCCATCCGGAGAATCCTATGGTGGCTTGTTTTGTTCACTTACTTAAAACTGCTGTGTGAGAGAGACATATATTGGATGTACACAACTACATAATCAAGGCTAACGTGAATTTACCAATCATATTTTTTTTAACCTGATGTTGTTGGCAGATTAAAGTTATGAGCTGTCCTCTAAGGCACATTCAGCTTGAACTTGAAGTGAATTTAAGATAACTATGGTGTCAGCTGTTTTTAGACGGACATAAGGCTTCTATGGGAAAACATAACCTTGTCCTGCATTCGAAGTCAGTATATTAAGTCACACTGGAGAAAACACTGCTGCCACGGTCTTTTGCCTCTGAAATGGTTGGCTTTAAGACCAGAGTAGGGCCTGCGATCATTCGTAGTGACTTGCCATTCTCAAAGCAACTTTTGGGTATCAAAACTGCAAAAACACTGAGTAAGTCTGCTTTCAGTCTGAGAGATGAGAATGAGGTTAATTTGACCATTACGCGCAGTTTGGTCATAATGATGCTGCAGCAGTGTGAAAAGTTGCAAATCTGTTGTCCTCTACATAGAAATTCACGGGTTCGAGTCCGACCCACTGCACTTTCTTCTACTTTGCACATCTTCCTCTTCCTCTCTCTCCCTCCGCTTTCCTGTCACTCTTCACTGCTCTGTCCAATAAAGCAGAAAAAAGGCCAGAAATAAAATATTAATGAAATTCACACTAACTACTTGAATTCAGCTCATAAATTTGAAACACAAACTCAGAAATATGTCTGTGCAGTCAGAGTTGAACTGATGGGATGTCTTCCATCGGGACATGTGCTATCCCGATGGGATTAACAGTGGTGTCCCAGATGTAGAGGGCAGATAATTGATGGCTCTAAAACTGGACAACTCACAAGAAAACAGTCTAAATCAATTAATAAGGCCAGAGCATCAAATGTAAAAAGAAACCTAATTAAAATAGTGTCCCTTTAAAAAAAGGACACATGTGGGCACAAACAAATTAATAGCAGAATGATAAATCAAAAATCATCGACAGCATGACATCAGAGAGGAGACCAAACAAGAACATGCCAAGCATTCTAAATTTTAGGTTTGTCAAACTTATCATCCTCATACAGGAGGCAAAAAAACAAGTTCACACAGGGTAACAGGACATTTTGTTAGCTAGAGGTTATCACAAATCAGCTGTAAGCAAATAAAGTTTGATTATAGATAATTTGCTTCTAGTTCATGCTGAATTCGCCTTAAGAATAATAATCTGAGTTGGTCACGTACCCTTGGAAAACAAGAGTTTGAGCCTAATCTGTATGCACACTCATGCATATAGGAATGGGTATTGATAAGATTTTCACGATTCCGATTCCATTTTCGATTCTGTTTAACGATTCGATTCTTTATCGATTCTCTTGTCGATTCTTTTTTTAAAAAGGAGAACACTAAGGTCGATCAGCTTAGAACTTTGTTTTATATCTTCTCTTTGAACAAGATAGAAATTTAGGAGTAACATGGCCTTACAAACCCAACAGTGAGATAAGAGATCCACAGCCTACGGCTCTTCAATGGGGTGTCACAGGGTCCCCAGGAAAAAAAATTGTAAATGTAAAATAATAAAATAAATATTCACCTAAATGCACAGTAATGGCAGGTTTTGTAATAAGGCAGATCGCACTAACATAATATGCACTGTTAGTTGATTATTTACCTGCCGCATTAACGGGAGAGGACGTGCAAACGTTACCGCTACTGCTGGGTTGAGATTCACGAGTCCGGAGCGGAATTAAAAACACGACATTCATTTAAGGTCATCGTGTGTTTTGTGAGCAAATGCTTTTGCATATTCGTAGCGTTTCCTCCCTTAAATGAAACATCTACTTTGCAAGTATTGCAAGTTGCCCTTTTGTCATCCGTTCTCGTAAAGTATAACCAAACTTTTGAGCGTTTGAGCCGCTTAGGCACCATGTTTCCTGCCAGGTAAATGACGCTCCGCAACGTGGTGACGTGATTCGGGGCGACTGGAATCGATAAGGGAATCGTTTGCAAAAACGGCAAACAACTCCAAGGATTGAAACAGTGGGAACCGGTTCTCAACAAGAACTGGGTTTCGATACCCATCCCTACATGCATATACTCTTATTTCTCTGAATCTGTTGCTCCTGTTTGCTTCCTTTTGTTTCCTGTTTTTTCATGACACACAGGCGTCCATCTATCAGACACACTCATCAGATTCAGACTCTTAAGTTTTCCCCTTTGGGTAAATTGAAGTTGTGATTCTGCGTGTACGCTGATGGTGTCATGGGGCTGTCAGGGTGTAACAGGAAATCAATCACTTAGCAAATGGAAGTTGTTTGAAAATGTATATATACAATAACTCCTCAAGGTTAGTTCAGGGGCAAGTGCTCACTCTGTCAACACGGACGGAGTAGCGATCATTCACGCTGACAGGAACAAGACAGAAGTGTTCGGGACTAAAGAGACCTGAGACTGACACGCTCTCGTCACAGCTGGAGTGAAAAGCGACTCTTCCTGCGTTGAAGCACGAACAGTTGGGTCTAACTTTTGGAGGGACTTTGTTACTTTGGAAAGGGAAAGTCCTTTCTTCCTCTGTTCATAATTAATCAAAGACTATTTTTAGACAGAAATCTCTATCTACCTGTACAAACTTTGTTTTCTACACAGAAACTGTTGGAACTGCTCCATCCTTGACCCTCTTTTTTGTCTCTCACTGTTTGTCAACTTGGTAGTCAGAGCATGTTTGCACTCTTTTCAGCTGTCCACGCACATATCTCCCCACTTTTTAATTTATGTAAAGCTGGGATTAGTTGGACCTCGAGGAACGCTGTTTGTTTCTTTTATTCATCCGGTAAACAAAACCTCTTCCCGCGTGCCAGAACAGCGGCTCGCGGATGACAGCCAAGAGCGGTCCCGTTTGTTTTAACCCAGCTCTGTGTACCGGCCTCCAGGCACGAGTCAATATTAAAGTATTCGTTTTGTTTCGTGGGGAAAGCTACAGAGTTTTCATTTTTGTGTACCGTAGCCATAGTTTAACAGGACAGCCCTTCGCTCAGATCAGCGCAGACAGTCGTCCTTGGCAAAGGTAGACCTTGCAGAGATTTGAAGAGGAAGTGAGCCAAATCTCTAAGTGCTCAATATCTTTTTGCAAAGAGCTTTAGTCAGATTGGATTAAACCAGTAAACTGCCAGCCACTTGCCATCTGATTGTGTTTGTATTAAAAGATAACAAAGATCCTATCTACTGTTTGTCTAAAGTTTGTTTGGATATTCGTGCCAAAGTGGTCGCACATGAGAACTAACTAGTGTTACCAGTAAAGAATATGCAGGCCAGCTATAATTAGTCAACAGCATAGGTTTTCTCTGGCTTGACTTAAAATTGATCCAAAAGATCTAAATTACATTTCTAGACATATAGAACCGTTCTTAATTTCTGCGCTGAGACAATTACGGAAGATGAAAGCAAAAGAAAAAGTCACTAATACTGAAATAAGCAAATGGAGCTAATAGTTATACAGTCAGCACAAGAGCATACTGGCAAGCAGTCTAATCTGTTATCACAAAGACGAAGCACTTGATAGGCGAATGAGTAAATAATGTAGATCTGGTCGTCCTTCAGTCAGAAACGCGATGTGAGGAGTCCTGACCAAGGTGAAACAGAGGGACACCACATAAATCAATAAGTAGCAATAATATAACTGTTGATTTTTCGATAGCCTACCTTTACCGGTTTGTTCAGTGTGGAAAGCAGAGGTGCCAGCCAGCTACTAGGTTATGATTCACAGAAATGCCCGTGCCTTCTGCAATTCCCAGACATCTCAATCAGCTCTATACTGCTGTATAAATCGGTGGATCTTGATAGACAAGTTCCAGTTTAGGCATAAGGTTTATACCCGGTTACAGGGAAAAGCAGGTTTAAACCTAGATGGTCCCGAAACAACAGCAAGTTATACCTTAGGACCAGAGTTGTAGACAAGTATCTTAGTCCCATCTGTCGTCGACTTGACAGATCCAAACAGACTGAAAACACAGCAGAAAAATAACATACTATTAGCTGTTAAGCAGCAATGGCTTTAAAAAAGAGAATCAATAATTCTTCACCTTGGGTAGATTTTGAAATATGCTCCTCAACAGCAATCATGCATGTTAAAAAAGAAAGGGTACTTGATGGGAATTGTAGTAGCAAAACAACCATGTTTGATGGAAGCAAAGACCTGCGTCTACTGGTGAACAGAAGAACTACAGTTCGGGCAAGTTGCACGCTTGGATTTCCATATTGATATTTTCCATTCACAACAGAAAGAAGCACTTCCAATATTCCAGCTCTAAGAATTCCCAATAGTGTACTCTTAAACTTCTTTGAAGTGCTTGCTTTTCTTTTGACTGTTGGAGCAGTCGGCTAAGGCGTCAGATCAAACCAGCAACACTGTGGTGTATGTCCTCTGATCGAAACCTTATCCTTCACATTGTCTTTTTTATCCCTCTTTCCTTGTGTTGTGTCTCTCTTTTCCCCTGCTGTCTTTTGTACGTGTTCATTTAAATAGTTTAAATCTTCACGAGTG